TTCGAGCTCAGTGATGGTTACCAAGACAGACAGAGGCGAGAGAGAAACAGCCCGCCGGAGCCGCTGTATAAATCAACACAAACAAGCACAGACAGTCTGTCCACATACGGAAGAGCCATCCCAGAAGAACTTGCGCATTCCTAGGAACTTGACGTGCTGTTAAACTCAAATAAACACTTGAAAGTAAGAGTAAGATGTTGATGAAGCAGTTTTGCAGCACATTCTGTCTATGGTTTTTGCCATAGAGGCTTGATTGCATCTTTGTGTAACATAGCCTTGCTAGCAGCTACAGCAATGGCTCAAAAATGGATAATGGAAAAAAGCAAGCCATATCAAACATGCAGTTATAATGAAATCTGTACATATTTAAAGCTGTGATACTTTGTTCACTCACAATAACAGGGAGGAGCAACAGCATCGCTGACGATCTGCTAACGATGCCATAGCAGAACCACTTTTGGTTCCCTAAATAAGCTTTCGATTCTACTGTTCTTCTAAAACTTCAGTTTAATATGTTATTTGTTGTGTAGTGATGTATTCTATAGTGCAGCATTGTATCTCTCAACCTCCTCAGTTTTCCATTTATCACTGCAAAATCCAGCAGAAATCATGCAACCACTGGAAATCCCTGTGGTGCCAACCAATCCTGACTGCTAGCCTAGCTACTGAGCTATGGGCTACCACATTAAACCGAGCCAGCATTAGTGCAACTCGTACCTCGACCGTTGAACAAAATCATAAAGAAAACATTGATTGTGTCTTTATTCAACACAAAATGGACACCATTGACAAATTTTTATCCTTTCAACCAGAGTGAAGAGGCCAAACTGAGGTATCCAGATTGCTAACTTTAAGTTTAGATGCGGAGATATAGGGCTGCAAGAAGATATTCAACTTTCCAGCATTAATGTTAGCCTTATTTCTGCATCTGAAGGGAAAACCGCCCCAAAAATGCACCCCAAAGCAGTGGTAGTTCCTCTCATCTTCAAGATACATCATCAGGAGGAGGTTTTCCAATGTTTACACTGGAAAACCCAAAACTACAGACTCCTGCAGCATTATTGTATGTTATAATTAAGCATGTTTAAACAGCTATAGAGACAGTTACAGTTATTTTACATTTGTCAATATGTTCCTTTAAAAGCAGATTAAGTAAAAATGTCAAGTAAAATTCTTAAATCTGGTTAATATATCTAATATGTTCCATGTTGAAATTGTTTTAGGCTTATTATAAGATGACAACTTATTTCTAGGCAATTTCAACTTATTTAAGCTTTTTTTGTTAAATATAATTATTTCACTACATCGGCAGATCATTTTGCTTGTTTTCAAGCATATTTCTTAAAACAAACAAAACTGTCTGCCAATATGGTGAGTTCATTTCACTTGATAAATTACTGAAAGCAAGTAAACAATGTCTAGAAGTGTCTAGAAAATAATCTAAAAATAAGCTTACAAGAGTTTAAACAAATATGATATGTATTGATTAGATTTAAGGTCATTTTACCTTCCAAGATATTTTTTTTTTTTGCTTATCGCTGCTGTCGGAACAACCCAGAAGGATAAGCGGCTTAGAAGATGTGTGTGTGCTGTCAGAACAAAACCCTGTATCTCCCTTTTTGTTGTTTTCCAGTTTTTGACATAATTTGAATTTGAAAATGCCTTTTGTCCTTTACATTATGGGTGAAGTTCATGATAAATCGACCAAAAGAAACGGCCCAAAATTACCCAGAAAAACGTCTGGTTCCATTGACTTACATTAAAAGTAAAGTAAAGTAATGTTTTTACCTTCTCCCGTAAAGTTACTGTTTTGGAGGTTTTGTTTTCTGACAGCAGCGTTATTCACGGAACCAAACGTGGTTCTACGGCACCTTTATTTTTAAGAGTGTTAGCACAGGCCATAGTAACACAGAGCATTCAGTGGCAATAGCCACAAACAGGATATGATACAATGTGCCAAATTTGGCATCTTTGAGTCTGTGTTCAGTTCAGGAATTGGACACCTGGAGGAACTTAGACAACACTATTGATTCCACAATAGAATGGGGAATGGAAGATCGCAAGGACATTCAGTGCCAGAGCTGATTAAAAACCCATGACCTCGAGGGTGCCATTGCACATCTGAGACGACTCACTTCACACCTCCGGTGGGGCACTGGGTAGCGGGCCGTGGGCTTACCGGGGCTATCTGGCTGTCATGCCCTGGCGTCAGAGATGCCCTGTGCCTCCGGAGGAATCCACTACACTTCCAGCCCCACAACGAGATGCCTGCCACGAACGGCCCAGGGCTTGTGTACCGCGCCAGGCCGGCAGACGGTGAGGCGGTGTGTGGCTCTCCACAGGACTCACTCACCACTGCCAAAGCAAAAGGGACTTTTAACACTTTCGCGGCCAAAATCTTCTTCAAGTCCCTCGTCGCTTTGAAATATGTAGTTTTCCATTTTACAGGCTCACCACCAAGCGAGAGTGGAGAATATATTTTAAGCTTCGTCACTCTGAGCAGTTTGGAAGATGAATGCTGCTTTCGTTTTATTAATGGGCTCCACTTAAAAGCTAGTTGTTTGAAGATCTCTCTCTTTCTCAACCTCCTGTGTCCCTACCTCCGCTGTGCAAGTTGTCAGGAAGGAATTAAATCCTCTATAAACCCAGGCTCTTTATCTCTTTTAATATCACCCACTATGAACCGAACTCTCAGGAAACAGCCAGTGCATCATGTCATTGCCTTCCTATATAAAGTAACTGCTCCTGCTGTCAAGATAAAGGAATCATTCTAGCTGTATCTGATATAGCTTGTGTGCAGGCACCTCCAGAACAGTGTCAGCAGTAGTTTATTGCATTTTCTTCTGAATATAATCCTAAAGTTAGGGATATGAATCTGAAATCTGCAAGCAAGCGCATCGTCAGCAAGAAGACTAATGCACTTTGTTTCGCTGCCAAGAAAACTCCACCACAGAGTTGGGTGTTGTTCCAGAAGCATGGAGCGTGTTGCTCATTTCTTAAAGGTTCCCTTTCTTTAGGAATAGTTCAGCGAAAAACCAAATGTACACAATTTTCCACCTACTCCAGATGTTGTTGATCACCATTGGCGTCTAAATTTTGCTTCATTAGTTTAGAATTAGAGCTACGAGGCCAAACACTAGAAGTCAATAGTCACCCAAATCTTTACTGTAAATACCTCCCCAGAATTTCTCTTCTACATGCTTAAGCAGCATCTAGGTCTTCATTAAGGTCTCGCAGACTGGTTAATGGGATTTAGGACACAGCATGACTTACTGTGAACCATAAAATTAGACATTTTAGACACCCAGTAACTCCTCTACAAAACTCCCTTTCGCAAGCATGCACATTATGGATGCCAGATTAGTTTGTGTTTTATTTTGTTTCTATTTACAAATATCAGTGCTAAATTGTGACTATTCATTCTAGCCCATTCAGGTCATAAATATCAACAATGGCAAAAAAACACCTCTACTATAATGCTAATTTCTGCTAGCGCCCCTATGGCATTCTAGTAGCATGTTAGCACTAAGCTAGCAGTGATTTACATTAACCTTTTTTTGGCCTTTCTAAAAATCATAGACATTTGAAGCTTGTAACATATATTTCAGGTTTTATTTGATGCTTGTAACAAACATTAACATATTTGACCTTGTATATATCAGTTTTACAGTGGTTCAGTACAGTGTCCTGACATAGAGCTGCCGCCTCTGCTTTCCATTTCTAACAGCTGACTGAAACCGACTACAGCTCATACTCACAGTCAGTGACATGTCTAGAACTTTCAGAAGGTCTAGCTTTTTGGACAAAATAGGTCCCACACATTGTAAATCAAAATGTGATTGGTTGCTTCTACTGTCAGTTCCCAATTATGCTAGCAGTTAATCTGACACTGATTAGGCATTCAGTTCAGCTCCTGAAGGCCTAACCAATGGGAGAGCTCGCTTGGCTGTATATGCTTAGATCCCACAGAAACACCCTCATTGGATAGTTTTACACTGGAAGTTTCAAGATCTTAACTTTTTTGTTTCTAAATATAAAACTTATAAAAGAAATTTGAGAATTACTACAATACTTTTATTACTTATTTTTAGATATATTTAAAATATAATATTAATATATATATATGTGTGTATTTAATATATGTAATTATATTATTATATTATTACAATACAAAGTGTTTAAACACAGCAAGCGTGATGATTCTATTATATAAAAATAAACTAGAAATTATGTAACAAGTATTTTTTTAATTTCACAGAAATCATCAGGCCTTCTCTGAGTGGAAATTTGACACAGTACCTGGTTGTCTAAAGTGTCTGCCTGCTGCATTCAGCTATTCAGTAAAGTTTTTTTCATTTTTATAGTTCACAGTAAGTCGTACTGTGTCCCAAACCACATTCGAGAAGTCTGTGAGACCTTAATGGAGACCTGGATGCTGTTTCAGCAGGTTGAGAGAAATTTCAGGGGTCTATTTGCAGAAAAGATTTCGGTGACTATTGACTTCTAATGTTTGTTAGCTACTTTAGCCTCATAGCTGAAGCACTAAACTAGAGAAGCAAAGTGTGGACACCGAACTGCTCTTACCTGATCTTACATCCGGAGTAAGTGGGAAAGCGTGTGAGTTTAATTTTCCCGCCAAACCATTCCTTTAACCTCAGATCCTTACGAGGTGAATGTGTTATAGAACCGATCAACCTTTCAAAATGAGCTCAGCCTGGATTTGATCACACATTCTCTCGCAGCAAGTAATGGTAGACAAAGTAATATCCACTGGGCTACAGCTTATGAACATGGTCCAGTGCTGTGTAATGATTGGTTGCTTGCATGCAACACTGATCTATGACTGGTCAACAACTCAAGGTGTGGCCATGACGTGGGCAGACACAACTGTTAGGCCGATGGAACTTACGAGAAAAAAAGACGGACAAAAAAAAGTATGGAGGGATGGACTGAATGCCAGACGAGACTACGAGCTACGGTTGCAAAACAGAACTACGTACATTGTCTGCAGCAGGGTCTGCGAAACCGTGCAGCTAGTCTTGGAGGGGAAGTTCCAGAACAATCCGGGCCCCATCTAGCAGTACAAAACAAGAACCGTTGAAGTTTGCACTGAGGATAGACAGAAAGAGCATTTATATTTATGGATTCTAAAACATTTTTGACTAAAGACTGAACTGTGGATGCAAAACAAGCAGATTCCCCCTCCACTGATCCACTGATATCTCCACGGTTCTCTGCTGAGGGAAGAAAAAGGGCAAAAGCAAGGCTGCAGTGTGATACTAAAGTATACATGAGCAGACAAGATTAGTCTGACTTTCTTCAGTCCAGATCTAACAGAGAGGATTCTAGCCCGTGAGATTTATCACTCTGAGGCAAAAAAAAAAAAAAAGTTGGCAAGACGACGTCTGTTGCATTGTTATGTAACCCAGAGTGGGAGCTGCATCTGAGCAATCGCAGCGTTTGTAGCTGGAGATATCCCGGAGATGACAGCTATCTTGACAGTCGTATCAATATTCATTGGAGAACCGTGCATTTTACATTATTTAATATCCTTTCCAATCCAATCCGCCCCGCACAGAATTAGGACACCGTATCTGATGCAAATCCACCTCCAGCGCTGAAACATGTCAGTCAGTTGAGGATTGAGGACGAGCTAAACTGCCAGGCGATCTGCCGACAAAGACTGAATGTGCACGGTGTAAAAAGCTTGCTGTGCATCGTCACTATGACAGCCGGCTTGACGTGTTTGAGGAATTATAAACCATAACAGAAATGCAAACATACGGAAAGGGCACCGAACACGTTCTCTTAGCCACAGACGCACACGCCGGACTTTTCTGACCAGACTGTATTGGAAATCTGGTGTGAACTGATGCAATTAAAGCAAAACAAACTGCTGAAAAACAATTAGGATGCTGCTCGAGATATTACGGATTCCCACTGGTGACATGCCTTATTAACAAAAATAATGCCACAACTTAGTAAGGCATGGGAACAAGATAAATAAATCATGGCCATGGTTAAGCAAAGCATGGAAACAAGACAGTAAAGTTGTGGCCATGACTTAATAAGGCGTGAGAATGAGATAAATAGACATCAGAATCGTGGCAGGAATAGTGAATTATTTTTGTTCCCTCGATTCCGTTGACTATTTATTTGTTGATTTAGCAAGGTGAGGGAACTAGATAAATAAATCATGGCCACAACTAAATAAGGCGTGGAAACGAGATAAATAAGTCATGGCCACAATTTAGTTAGGCATGGGAATGAGATAATTAAGACGTGGCTATGACTTAGTAAGGTGTGCAAAAGAGATAATTAAGTTGTGATAGTTAAGTTATGGCCATGACTTAGTAAAATGTGGGAATTAGATAAGTAAGTTGTGGCCACATCTTAGTAAGGCATGGGAGTGAGACATGACATGGAATAAGTAGTGCCATGACTTAGTAGGGCAAAAGAACAAAATAATCAAGCCATGATAGTTATAACACTAGTTGTGGGAACAAGATAATTAAGTCATTGCCACAACTTAGTAAGGCATGGGAATAAGATAATTAAGGTGTGATAATGAAGGCATGGCTACAATTGAGAAAGGTGTGGGAATGAGATAATTAAGTTGTGATAGTTAAGTTATGGCCATGACTTAGTAAAGTGTGGGAATTAGATAAGTAAGTCATGGCCACAACTTAGTAAGGCATGGGAATGAGATTAATTAAGCTGTAATAATGAAGTCGTGGCCACAATTTAGAAAGGTGTGGGAATGAGATAATTAAGTTGTGATAGTTAAGTCGTGACCACAATTTAGTAAGGCATGGAAATGAGATACTTAAGATGTGGCCATGACTTAGTAAGGTGTGTAAATAAGAAAATTGAGTTGTAATAGTTACGACATGGCCACAACTTAGTAAAGTGTGGAAATGAGATAAGTAAGTTGTGGCCACATCTTAGTAAGGCATGAGAATGAGACAATTAAGTAGTGCCATGACTTAGTAAGGCAATAATCAAGTGGTGACAGTTATGACAATAGTTGTGAGAACAAGGTAATTAAGTCATGGCCACAACTTAGTAAGCCATGGAAATGAGATTAATTAAGCTGTAATAATGAAGTTGTGGCCACAATTTAAAAGGTGTGGGAAAGAGATAATTAAGTAACGATAGTTAAGTGGTGGCCACCATTTCGTAAGGTGTGGGAATGAGATAATTAAGTAATGACAGTTAAGTTGTGGCCACGATTTAGAAATGTGTGGGAATGAGATAATTAAGTTGGGATAGTTAAGTCATGGCCACAACTTGACCATCTCATTCCTACACTTTACTAATTTGTTGCCATGCCTTAATCATCTTGTTCCCATGACTCACAAAGTCATGGCCACTCTTTCCCACACTGTACTAAGTCATGGCCACACATTAGAAGGCCATTCCAATGCCTTACCACATTACCTTTGTTAGGGTGGAATGTCACCAGTGGGGCTCCATGAGAAATATCTGTTAGTACTTAGACAAATAACAACACTGTAATTCGGAAATACAATGAAAATATTACTAATGTCAATGTTTTAAGATTATATTGATTTGATTGTGGCTTAAGCAGTTTTCTAAAATGCTTATTACATCCTACGGCTTATTATTCAGTAACTACATGCACTACAATGCAAACTAACTGAGCTGTTCTTAAGTTTCTTAAGCTTTAATTAATTTGGACGCCACCCCGACTAAGCCTTTTAACAAAGAGCATTTGAAACATTTCCAACACATTTCCTAAGCTCATTAAGCGCTTTCACAAGACAATGACAAGATAATCACAGCGTTATCATGATAGTCAAGATAAAACTGAAAAAAAAACATTCAAAATCTAGACAAACTGGCCACTGCTGTTATGCCGTTTTGGTGGCGCTGACGCTGCTGGCCTGGTCACTGCAGTTTTGTTATTGTTATCCTCGCCCATATTTCACAGTGGGTGAGCGAGAGAGCGGTGGGAGGGGCCGCTGCCTTCAAAATTCAATTTCCAAGAGCTCCGACCAATTGAAAGTGACGATGCGATTAATTCGAGCCCCACTTTGAACCATAACACCAGCGGAAAGTTCCACAGACCGCAACCTGCCCCCCCCCACCGGCCTCGATTATTATATGAAGTGCCACTAGCGATTAGGTAGCTGGAGAGAACAAGACAGAGAGCCGTTCTTATCAGTTATTACAGAGCCTCTAAAAATATACCCCAAGCACACGTACACAAGCAGAGACCGTTAATCCAGCGGAGTGCCAAAGACACCTGTTAAAGCTCCGGCCCTAATGCCTTAAAGGCAAGTTCCCAGGGTGCCACTTCGTGGGCGGGTTTGGCACCCCACCCGGTGGCCTGCCGCAGTTCTTTCGCAGGTCAATAAATTCAACCTGACGACCTACAGCCACCTGCCAATGCAGAGGCTGCTGTGGTGTAGCATTGTATAGTATAGCGTAGTGTAGTGGGTGAAAACTGGAGCACTCTGCCAGCCTCGGTGTTGTTTATGAGCGTGTATGGGCTTATATGTGTGAAGGTCCCCATGGGGGCTTCACGCATATAAGCCCATACAGTATTAGCAAAAAATACATCATGTATTGAAAGTATAAGACCCTATAACAACATATTTAGCTTCTACTTTGACATATAGTGACTATAACAGGACATTTCATCTGCTGTCCAACAGAAAATCAGCCCAAGCTCACAACACGCTCACATGCACAGTCTGGATGTCGGTACATTAGCTGATTAAACTTCACGTATACAGTATATTTATGGAAGAACTTGAGGAACTGAACGTTAAGGTGTCTTACCTGAAGGCTTTGGGCGTCTGCTGCTGCTGCTGCTGCTGCCGGATGAATTTTGGAGTGTTTTTTCGCTTCTTTCTTTCTCTCCTCTTTCTGTGTCTGGGTCTGTGTGTCTTGGAGAGATGCTGTCTAGCCTATGAGGGATGTGCTATCTGAACTCGTTCTCTCTGTTCTGTTCCTCCCTCCCTCGCTCCCTCGCTCTCCCTCCCTCCTCAGTAATAAACAGAGAGCACGTGTCATCCTGGATGATGCAGCATGAGGGTACAGCAAAAGGGTGGGGGGGGGACAAAGAGAGGGAAGAGAGAGAGAAAAAAAGGAAAGAGAGAGGGGGCTGAGAGGAGGGAGGGGAAGAGAAACATATATATGTATATACAAGGAGATAAAATTGAGAAAGAAAGAGGGAGGAGGGGGAAGAGAGAACAAAGAGAAAAAGAGAGAGGACAAAAAGGAGAGAGAGACAAAGAAAGAGAGCCAGAGAGGAGAGAGAGAAAGAAGAGTGGGCAGATTGAGGAGAGAAAGAAAGAGAGCGAGTTAAAATATAAAAAATACAGAGAGAGAGAGAGAGAGAGAGAGAGAGAGAGAGAGAGAGAGAGAGAGAGAGAGAATTAAAATATATAATAAGAGAAAGAGAGGGGATGAGAGAGAGAGAGAGAGAAAGAGAGAGAGAGAGAGAGAGAGAGAGAGAGATGATAAGAGGGGAGAGAGACATTAAAAGAGAATATAAGGGAACTGGCACAAAAAAGAGCAAGAGAGGAGAGAGAGAAAAGAGTGGGAAGACTGAGGAGAAAGAGAGAGAGAGGAAGATAGAGAAAGAGTTAATATATCTAATAAGAGAAGAGAGGATGAGAAGAGAGAGAGAGAGAGAGAGAGAAAGTTAAAATATATAATAAGAGAAGAGGGGATGAGGAGAGAGATAGAGATGATAAGAGGGGAGAGAGAGATTATAAGAGAATATAAGGGAACTGGCAAAAAAGAGAGCAAGAGAGGAGAGAGAGAAAAGAGTGGGAAGAATGAGGAGAGAGTGAGTTACAATAAGAGAAAGAGAGGGGATGAGAGGAGATAGAGAGAGAGAGAGACAGAGAGAGAGAGAGGGAGAGAGAGAGAGAGGAAGAGAGAGAGAGAGAGAGACAGAGAGAGAGGAAGATGGAGAAAGAGAGAGTTAAAATATGTAATAAGAGAAGAGGGGATGAGGAGAGAGAGAGGGAAGAGGAGAGGGGAGAGATAGATTATAAGACAATATAAGGGAGCTGGTAAAAGAGCAGAAGAAGAGTCAGAGTCGGAATGAATGCAGACAGAGAGAAGAGAGAGATGAAGAAAAGGAAGAGCTGCAGAAACAGCAGGTTCAGTACAGACACCTTCATTACAGCAGGACACAAACAGGTTTATTGAAAGGTGAGAAGGAGCAGTCAGAGTCGGTCAGTCCATCGGTCAGAGCTGAGCTGGAGTCATTTAACAACAGCAGACGCACACACACACACACACACACACACAGACGCACACAGATGCACACATACACACACTCACACACACACACACACACACAGACACACACACACACAGACGCACACACACACAGACGCACACATACACACACTCCACACACACACACAGACTCACACTCACACACACACACACACACACAGACTCACACACACACACACACACACACACACACACGTACACACACACGTACACACACAGACTCACACACACTCACACACACAGATGCACACTCACACACACACACACACCCATACACACGTACACACACACACACACACACACATATACATGCACGCACACAAACACACACACACACGCTCACACACACAAACACATACACAGATACACACACATACACATACACACACGCGCACACACGCACTCACATACACACACACGCACACACAAACACACACAGATACACACACACACACACATACACATACACACGCACACACACACACACATGCTCACACACACAAACACATACACAGATACACATACACACACGCGCACACGCATATTATATATATTTGTAAGTACTTATATGTAATAATAATATGTTTCATATATCCCATGTTTATGAATCACTTTCCTCTGACTGCCAAAAGCAAGGTAGCTGTGAGAAATGTGCAACTGCCATCTAGTGAATTTCCCTGAATGTGGTAATAACCGATGTGACCGAGTGCTTTAGTCAGTAGTGAACTGCACTAACTGAACACGAAATTGTGCAGGTGTCGCTTCTTGAGAGTTGGCCTGCCCCTCAGCTGAAACGCTGATTTTAACTGGTTATTCAGTGGAGTGCGAGTGGTGGGGGAGCGTTTTTCTTTTTTCGGAATAAACATCCTGAACTCGATCAAAAAGTGCTTTAAAAAGTGGTGGGACAAATGCCTGCTCGCCCCCGACGCTCCAGCCATGCCTATATGTATTATATATCTCCATTTCTGTCGTTTTCTGTCGTTCGAAAAAACCAGCTACCCTTTTATTTCCTGGTGAATGAACATCCATAATGTTCCAAACCCAATAAAATCATTAACTTACACTGAAAGTTGAGGACGTTTTTCCTTCTCCTGTAAAGTTGCCTTTTTGGAGATTTTTGGGAGGTTTTGTTCTGACAGTGATGATCTGTAAGTATCTATGGATGATTAGAGTTTCTAAGCCTAAACTTAAAACTAACCTTAATCTTCACCTACAGAACCAAATGCTTTTGCTCTTTCAGTTTCAGATGGAGCTGAACAAAGTCAGGAGCCCTTGTTTGCCCTGTAGGTCAGTCCTGCTTTTCCTCACTGTCCTCATATCACAGACATTCTCAGCTGCAGCAGAACGCTCTACTGAGTAACCTACAGGCAGATCCAGTGCTGGGACAGAGTGTATCAGCACTTTATCTCACTCTCAGCCTCCGCTCTGCTACACCTGGCGCAGGCAGGAGCTTTAGGGCCGAGCTGTAATCGGTAAATGTTGTTCTGAGTTCCTGTTTCTTCTTCTAAGGGCAAATCAGTCATAGAGCAGAGCTGAGAGACACTTTTATCTTAAACTGATTGATTTTTTTGCCATTCAAAGTGGCAAAGTATGAAACCCCATCCCTGCCAGGAAGAGCCAAAAACATGTTTTTTTTTTTTTCTCCTTCTGTTTTTCTGGCAGCAGTATATCAAAATATTGACTTAGTATCTTCGAATAATGAGGTATTTTTTCAAAATATTGAACTAATATCTGAAAATAATGACATTATCTGGAAATACATGGTTTGATATTTTAAAATAATGACTAATTGTCCCAAAATATTGACTATTCTCAAAATAATAGCTTGTTTTCTTGTTCTTTTGAGATAATGAAACAATTTAATGATGAATTATTAAATGTCAAGGAAGCAAGTAATTATTTTGGGATAAGCCGTTATTACAAGATCATTATTTTGACATGGTTAGTCAATATTTGAGAAAATAAGTTAGAATACTATAGTCAATATAGTCAAGATTCATTATAACGAGCTACTAAGGCCCAGTCCCATTTCACTCCTCGCCCCTACCACTTACCCCTACCCCTCCATTTGTGTGTTCATGTCTAGGGGTAGGGTGTCCCAATTGTTGTTGAGACAGAGGGGTAGGGTGAAGTGTTAGAGCTACATGACCCTCCAAACAGAGGTTTTTCAGAGACTCCAAACAGAGTGATATGGGAAAAAAAGAAAAACTGGCAAGATGACTGAACAAGAGACCAAAGAAAGACACTAATGTGAATATTTTTCTCTGTTAAAAAATTATGATAATCTTTGTTTTATCTTAGTTTAATGTCATTTCAATGTATTATGGTCCTTTTCTTTATAACAAGCATTAAAAAATCTGAGTAGTTTGCTGATGTCTCGGTAGCTAGCTAACTTTCCTGTCCCACCTTAGAAGGTGCAGCATTTCTGATGCCTGCTGCTCCATTTAAGGTGGAACAGGAAAATTCGAACAAGAAGCTGGCGAATATCGGACTTCAGCTTCATATCACTGAAGAATTAGGGGTGGGCAATAATAAATAATTGCCCCCCCTTTGAAGTCATATGATTCCCTAAATGTAACTAAAGCCCAGCAGTGAGGAGCTGAACTTTACCCTCCTCTGCTGTCACTGCAGACTGGCAGGGTCGCCTACAGAGCAGCGCTAGTAGCTGTTAATGAAGTGATGCTCTTTTTATTTGAGGGTCCCATTTCCTTGTAACCCAGTTCCAAGGGGCAAGGTGACCCTCAAAAACAAGGGGTAGGGATAAAAAAAAGACGTCATTGGGTCTGAGTCAATATTTTGAGATACAAAGTCAAAATTTTGACCAACTGCCGGCAGAAACAGTGAAAGAGAAAGTCATAGGTGATTGTTGGTTTATTGTAGTGGGTAATACGTCTGCCTTCTGCGCTGTAGACTGGGGTTCAATCCCCTGCCTGGGTAAGCACCCTAAACTATACCAATTAGAGTCCTTGGGCAAGACTCCTAACACTACATTCGCCTGTCTGTGTAAAATGATCAAACTGTAAGTTGCTCTAGATAAGAGCGTCTGCCTGAAATGTAAATTTCACTCTCCTCTAGCTGGAGGAGGTAAGCAGGAAGTAATGGGCTTCCAAAGCAAAGTGTTCCACTGCAACAGATTTGTTCTTTGTTTAAGCGCAAATGCAAGCGCGCACACACACACACACACACACACACACACACACACACACACACGTATCATCTGCAGTGAATGCTGCTGTTTAATTGTCTGTGATGTTGCTTTAACCATAAGTAAAGCTACTCTGCCGTCCTCCTTCTTCAGCAGCAATTAAAGCAGAACAAAGGCTTTCTCCTTCAGTCTGAGAGTTAATCCCTGAAGGCCGTGTGAGCGTGGGAGCTCTGTCTGCTCCATCTCTGCATTCAGCGGTGACCCATTTCAAACACCGCCGCATGGCTGGACGGAAGGAACAGATCAAACAGCATGTGGAGAGGCAACACTCTTCTGCAGCAAGTCTCCAGGCAGCCTCCACCAACGGAGACGATCCACCAACAACTAACAGGTCCACCAAATACGCAAGATATACCAGCAAGCAACGACTGATAACACTGAATGGACTGGTAACACTTTATTTGGAGTGGTCCTTTGTCGATGATTAATAAACACTTAACAGACTATTAGTAACACATCAACAACATATTGGTGAAGTAGCAGTAGTGAAGCATCTGAACACACTGATGTAA